GGAATTCATTTGTTTAGTCAATTACCAAAATTTGGATGATTTTGAATATTCACTTGAAAAGTTATCAAAGAAAAACATTTTTCATTTTGTAACTTCGAGGGCCCGTTACTTGGTAACGAAGGATTTTAGGAAAAAAAGTTATATGAAGTACTAGAGATATTTTGACCCCATCTATACATTCCCGAGAGGAAAAGAGGAAGTCCAGGGACACCCTGTATAGTTTTACAATTCATTATGCTGATTTATTTTCATCACCTGCAAAAAATGTTGCTCAAATGATGAGGTTACTGATAAAGGCACGAGATCTCTGATAGCAACAGTTCTGTATCTTCAGAACTGATCTGTTTTTCTTCTGGTGATTAGGCGGAGTTAATGGACTCATAGTTCGTGAATAAATCCCCAAGAGTGGAAAAAATATCCTATGTACCAAAGTTCTAACAGAAATCAAAATGAGTTTGATGACTTCATCAGAGAGATACATACGTATTGAGAAGCGTTTCTACACATTAGGATTCAGTGAATGCTGGTATACCATTAGTCAACAATTTCTTTTCTCAGACGGAGATTTCAAACATGCAGTTGTACCAGACACACTACTGTTTGGGTAAGATCTATCCAGCAACAACGAGGGGTATTACGCCGAAAACAATATATACGTTTTCTACTCAATGGATTTGTATCTGTAGAGTAGGGAGTATGAGTGTAAGCCCACATCACTTAGGCCACATGTGACTCATTGTACATCCTCCCGAAGAGTTGTCCTCCTAGGTCATCGTCCATCCTGCCTTTCCAGGACAGTGGAAAGGTCACTGGAAGACATCTCCTTAATATCGGCAAGAGTATGCCAAGACTCGCTGGTCATCGCGAGTCTTGGTGATCGCCAGATATTTCTTCGGCACCAGCTTCCCAGGTGCGCCTAAGGTGATCCTGGCAAGATTGCATCCTTTGATTCTATCCCATCTCTTTAGGGATTGAGCATGGGTGTGACATTTGACTAGTTCCGCAATTGTCGAAGTCATCAGGCCGTAGGTGCCACAGGGTCCTAAAATTTTTAGTCCAGCCGCTTCCTTGACTAAAGGGTCGGCAATGCAATTACCTTCACTCCTCTCCTGCCCTTCAACCCACCTCAGGATAATGTTATCTACCTCCGAGGTTTCGGCTAAATCTTGGTGACACTCTAGTACTAGCCCTGCGGTTACACGTTGTCTGTTCAAGGGCTGCTGTCAGTGCAGATTGCTATGTTTTTGCCAGAAAATCTTTTCCCGGTTATTTATTTTGTGGCGATTGCGATACCAGCCAATTCTTTTTGGACCACGATGGTATTTTTCCCATTCCCCACTCAATCCTTAGGCTCAGTGACCTGGAGTATACTCCACATCCTGAGCCTTCTTTGGTTTTTAAGCCGACTGTATATGTGCGTATTGCATTTGTAGTATGTTTTATTTGTATTTTGTTAGGTTTATCAAACACAAACCTGAGTTCAGTTGCATCACTGATTGCTTGCAGCAGAGGTTTCGCAGTAAGCCTTAATTGACCCATTCCTACTCCGAAATTCACACCAGCCGTGCGTAATCGTACCATGGCCATTAACGCAACTTCCTTAACGAACAAGTCCAGAGGGGTCAGACCCGTAATTAATTCCATTGCCGCGGTTGGTGTTGTTCTCATGGCTACTGTGATGTTTTTAAACAAGCCAGTTGCTGTATTTGATATAATTTTTGGATGGCCGTTACTTGTAGAACTTTCGGTCCCCATGCAATGGCTCCGTACGTTAACATAGGTCTTATTATTGCAATCTAGATCCAGGTGGCCACACGGGGTGAAAGACCCCATGCGCGTCCCACTGTCCTCCGACATTCAGAAAAATTTAGTTTGCTTTTGAACATTTCGGGAGGTTTTAAGCCCAATAAATGTATTTTCCTGGTGAAACAGACCATCTCAGTCTTCTTGGAATTAATCGAAAATGAGTGTTCCTTTCACCCTTTTTCTATTAATTTGAGCCATACTGCGCTCTATCGCACAGTGTGTTCACAATTTTGTCAGTCTGTAAGATAACTATGTCATCCGCAGTCGCATCTACTATCGTGTAAAATCTATTATTGTTGTGGTGAATAATCAGGGTACTCAATGGATACCAGAGTGTTTCTGTAGCGGGATGAACAAAAACACCTGCGAGGTAGCTTGCATAAATGTCCGGGGAATTCAATGTTCAACGTGGTACTGACACCCTGTATCGTTTCCTTCCAACGATAAACTGATTAGTCACTTGTTTGAATAAAAGTGTGCTTTCCTTTTTGTTTTGATAAGAACCGGAAAGCTGAGTAAACTTCAAATAAGGGTTCTGATAATCAGGTCATGAAAACGTGAGTGACATAACTCTGGTTATCACATTTCATTGTAAATTTATTCCAACTAGGACATGGAATGAGCTCCAATATGTTCAAACTAGATACATAAAAGCGAACGATGAAAATGTTGAATTTTTATTCTGAACCAGCTGGAAGACAAGTTGCGATAAATATTCAAATTCAATCCAAATTCGATAATAATCGTATATAAAATGGTCGAATTTTCCATTCAGCGGCAGGTTATTCAGAGTTCTTGAACCTAGCGCAATGAAGACAGGGTTGGTAATGGTTTTTATGATGGTGTCTTACATTTCTGCTCACGAGTTCGATACAGAATTGATAACGGTGTCTCCTCAAGAGTATTTGGCAGAAAACGTGGAAAGTAGGGGAGGATTACGATTCGACACAAAACTTGCGGAAACAATAAGTGCTGATCTTCCACCAGATAATGGGGGGAACTATGGAGACTTGATTTATAAATTCAGGGAGAATAAAGACACGCTGCTTCTAAGAGAAGTGGTAATCACCGATCAGTTATCCTCCTACGAACAGAATATTAGGTGGTATGTACCATTGCAATATTATAGAAAAAAAAGCATTTTTTGAAACAGTATTTTTTGTGGTATCCGGAAGTTTCTATATGTCTTTTTCCAGCCGAGGAAACTTTAAATTTGACTTACTATTCAAATGGAAGCCAATCAAATGGATATCATTCAAAGTACACAATCATAGTCGGTAGCCAAGCGGTTCGGCGTGGGTGCTTTGTTCACTCACTCGAATTGACTGCCGTGTTGGTCGGTGTTTCAAGCCCTAGCCTGAACAATCGATCTTCACTTACTACCGTCCAACCCGTGTTAGGAATCACACGTTAAAAGGTTAGACCTCGTTAATCCTTAGCTCGCACAAGTTTCGACTTCTGAGGGTTGTCGTTCAATAAGTTAGATATTTTTGAGTTAGCACGTAGTAGATTTTAAAGGAATATCATATCGAAATAGATATATGTTGTAATTGTTGTTCTGTTGTTGTTTCAGAAATAAAATTGAAAATATGTATAAAAACACATTTCGAAGATTAAAAAGCAGCTACACAAGACCATTATAACAATGTTTTCTTGAACGTATTTCTTTACAATAAGTTAGATATTTTTGAGTTAGCACGTAGTAGTATGTAATAGTATGTAATAGTATGACATGAAGTTATTGAGATAATGATCATAGATCTGCCATTTTACATAAAGAAATGAAAAATAGTACAGTTTTCCAAATGAAAATGTAAGGCGAACTTCAGTTTTCATAGTGACGCATCACTTTCGATTGCTTTCCCACCGTACCTTAATATCCTTAGACATAACATGTCGGAAAATAAATTTACCTCTCAACAAGAGATCTAAAAAGTGTCTTGAAATGTTCATTTCTTCTTTTCGTTTATGAAGTTTCCTAACCAATAATATATTGCATTGATTTTAATAAGTAATATAATGTTTGGATAAAACTGAAACTGATGTATCGTGAGCATACAGTATGTAGCTGAGAGAATTAAAAAAAGCTTCGGTGAATTCATTTACATGAAAGTTGAATAAAGTGAACCTTCCAATTTCTCTTTAGTTATTTATTAATTTCATATTTTTGATACTTCATTATTTCTTCTGGTATGTGAAACAATTTTGTGTAATCGTCACAGTTGAATGTTCTGCTGGGATGACAGAATATCTCTAACCATCACCCACCTGTTTTCAACGATTCACTTCCTCAAAGAATCAGTGATCATATTTTTTCCAGAACAAGACCACAGAAGTGCGAAAGTAGCGACGTTGGATTCAAATCGCTGGAGAATAAATTCATTTGGAGAAACATCCTGATATTCTATCCTACCTACCGCGCCAAATAACTATCGACGGCACTACATTTGCCTTCCAAAAGACTTTCATCAAAACAAAAGCAAAGGAATCAAAATTACAGTTTGCAAAATTGACGTATTTCTTTTCAGCGATCTACATTTTAAAAGGATGACTATGATCCTGTACAAGTGATTATTATTCTGAAAAATCAAAAAGCACTGATAATATCTACTTTAAAACGTCATCTGAAAATATTTGTGAATGCATAATGTATTTTTTTCCAAAGACAAAACACAAGCACTGCAGGAAAATCCTCGAGGCGCTCCAAGAGCGATGTCTGTGCGAAAGTAGCGATTTACATTGGATTTGAATCGCTGGAGATCTAATTCATTTCAAAAAATGTTCGCAAGGAGGTTATTCCACATAAACGCAGTTCTCCAAATGAAAGAGTTCTCAAACAGTGAGGTTCGAGGTGTACAGAGTTGAACCTGGAAACAATGAGCGGCCACAGTCCGTAGCATATTTCTGATATGTACCGCCCTTGAAGGAATCAAATGTGTCAAGTCACTTGAACCCTCTGAACGTATCTATGAAAGAGAGACAAATTTCGAACCTTTCTTCGATGTTCCAGATTATCAAGGTGGCAAGTGATGTTCGTGTCTCCAATCAGGTGGATGGCTCTTTTCTGGATGGAATCCAGCAACTTCGAGGTATGCTTAGAGGCCGAGCTTTATACATGAGAGCAATACTTTAAAGAAGGTCTGATATGAGCTTCATGGAGCATCAAAAATTGCTGAGGTTGCTGGTTTGGAACAGTGTTTCAAGCTTTTGAGAAGCAGCCTTTGCAATTACAGTGACATAATTGTTCCAAGACATAATGGTGTCCATTTTAACCCCTAACAAACTTTCAGAAACAGAAAGCGGAATTGTCTGTTCTGACATTATATCCGGTTAGGCGACATTTATACTTTTGGAGGAAACCGATGCCTGGGTTTTTGTAGCATTGAATTGAACCTGGTTGAAATGACGAGACAAATGTGCTGTCGTGAGCACAGCAACATTTTGGAATCTCTGTTTTTCCCACTGAGTCGTCTATATACAATGAAAATAGGGCTGGAAACAATATTTTCACTGGATCCTTGATCATCAGTACGTGCTCCGTATATGTTTTCTCAAAGTCAATGAAAATTATGTAAATGAAAGGTTTGATACTGAAATTGAAACCACATATTTTTGTTTTCTGCTTGTCACTTCTCTCATGAATTAGTACCACCTTTTCTCTTCTTAATATATTAAGAAATTTCTTAGTACAAAAATAAGGTATATTGACATTTCAATTTGTTACTGATGAAACTAATTTTTCTTCTCAGTGACTGATAAGTCGAATAACTCAGTCTGTCCAAGCTGTTTTTATTAACTTGATGATACTTTCAGAATGACGTGTTCTGAACCCCTTTTTCTTTACAAGATATCATTCGTGTCCCGCGAAAAAACATTTATACAACTTTCTTCCTGCGAAATGAGTGGATACTGAGCTTAACTTCGTTTCAGGACTGTATCAATATCCGGAGCACAGGTAACTTCGGTGAGAGTTCTGAATTTTGGGAGGTCAAGGGCATATTGCTTGAGGATTGATGTAGCAGCAGGTGATGTTCAGATTTTCCTCAGAGTTCCAGTCCTAGGCGATCCAAGAGTTATGATTGAAGTTTATGGCTACTAAATAATCAACATGAAATATATAGTTTCTGAATAGTTGCTGCTATAGTTTTATTTCACTTTCATCATTTACTTTGAACGTATTTGATAATAGTTAAAGTTATGTTTGTACATGCCAATGTTCTGAATCTTCTTCATACATTACACAGAAGTCATCTTGAAAATACTATGGTGTTTGAGGTGAAAGTCTCAATATGAATAGTTACTAGAAGACGTTATATGTTTTCATCAAGTATCGACCAAATCCATAGCGTAGGAGTTGTTATTGTTTCAAAATCCAAGTTGAAAATCAACATCTGAAAGAAATGAAAACATAAATTGTTTTGATTTTTCGTGAACAAAAAAATATAATTTTACAAAATATTTAGACAACTCCGCTTTCTGCTTCGATACGTTTGTTGAGGGTTAAAATGGACACAAACATATCTTGGTACAATCATGTCGCTGGAATTGCAAAGGATGCTTACCAAAATAATGAAACACTGTTTCGAACCAGAAAACTGAATACACTTCAGCAAGTTTTGATGCTTTAAATTTGATGCTCAAATCCGACCTTCTTTGGAGTATTGTTTTCATGAATGGAGCTCTGTCCCTATGCATACCCTGAAGCTTCTGGATCTTCATCTAGAAAAGAACCATCCGCCTAATTGGAGATACGAACATCATTTGCAACCTTGTCGGTAAGGAAAATCGCAGAAACGTTGGAGATTTTCCTCTAACGTTTCTACGTTTCTGAAATGAAATACAACGTCTATTTTTCAAACTGTAGTTTTGATTCCTCCACTTTTGTTTTGATGAAAGTGTTTTGGAAGCAAATTCAATTCCGTCGATTGTAGTTTGGCGCAGTAGGTAGGATATAATCATACACTCCTAAAAACAATCTGATTTTCAATGGAAAATTTTTGTAATTGCCAGAATATTCCAAGAACAATAAAATGATTTTCAATCACCTTTCATTGAAATCATTATTTACTTAGAAAAGATATGGACATTATTCGAATATGAAAACACAATCCAATCAAATAGTTGAGTTAACATTATATTTCATGTATCCGACACAAAATCATCGAAATGAATCGTATTTTGAGATTACAAGAAATACTGTAGGGAAATTGTGATATTCTGAAAGCTGGAGATTGAATTACATCTCTTTGGTGCCTCCAGTAACTCGTAGTGAGCCTGCAAGTCAATTTTAAAATAACTTCAGCAATTATTTATTTCTGTACTTCTAGACTATACCTTCACTCAGCTTACTTTCAAGAAACTTTCCAAATTGTAATTGAAACTTCGGATTAGAAATTAGTTTAGCAGCATATGGAAATGACTACGTAGAGCCGAATATTTCGGAATATTATCCAGGGTATTATAGTTCTCGTAAAGTTTTTCGACTCAAATCATATATTTCATTTTCATAGTTGAATAATTCATAGCGCTACGATAGATTTCTTATGAAAAAATATGTCACGGTGAAATTATCGCCACTATTATTGAAATGAAGCTACTCAATAAAATTTAATATCACCGTGAAAGTAGCTGAATTTTTCTGATTTAAAATTTACCAATTCGAGTCAAATAACTTTCAAGTTGGCAAATTTCTGAGAATTTGTTGCTCTCGTTTTATGAATTTTGGTGGTCCTTGGCAGAGCTTGACGCTTTGGGGAGTATCGTTTATTATAAATATTCATGGATTGAGTCTTTTGTCAGTTCCTCAGATGAGTCATGTCCATTGCCTACTTTTCAGCTACGCAGGCTAGTCCTTCAAGAATGATGATTGTGATAAAGCAATCGATGACTATCAGCGTGAAATTTCCAGTTGAGTTGATGAACAACTATACTTTTCGATGTGTGAAATATCAAACCATCTAAGAAACGAATTCACCTAATTTTCAATCATAATTTTGTACCAAGTTCTCTACAAAGCACATCCAATTATTTTCTCTGCAAATTCTGCAACAAGAAAATTAATAATTAATATTTCAACAACTTTTAATTACGTGCAGGATGAATGAAAATTTAACGAAATACAAAGAGTACAGTGTACTTAGAATATCTAGAGGAAATTTTCAGCCTGATAACGTTTTGTTTGTTTGTTTTCCTGATAACGTTGCATGTAGTAACTGTTGCCCACATTTTAGTGGAGATTTCATGCATTTCATAATACTAATCGACTGAATCAACTTAAATTTGAGGACTGTATTTTTGTAAACAGACTTCGCTATGTGAAAACTGTCCGAGATAACAATAAACAACTATTCAGTTCACTAGTTTGTTTTGTGGTGTGTCAAAGTAATGATTTGTGGTGGATATGTATTTCGATTATCTCAGTTTTCCATTGTTTGCTATGTCATCATTTATCAATTCTGCCATATTTTCCTCCGCTCCATAATCTCTTCCTGCCAATGATGTTATCCAGTATCCTGATTTTTTGGCTTCCGCTCCACTCGCTCAATAGATCCGATTATATGATGAGAACTGTTAGTGTGGTGAGAACTACAGAAGACAGATCAAAACAAAGCATGTTATTCGGATCCAATCTAGGTCCAATACTAGGAATGCCCGTGGATAACACAGTTCGGGAGTACAACTTTAAGAAAGATTTCAAAATCATCATACCAAGTAGAGACGACTGGCAGAACGGCCCACCGGTGAGAGCGGAAGAAGTTTGGAATACAAATGGCTCAAGGACCCAAGAAGGAGTGGGAGCCGATATATACGGAGGCAGAGCAAAGACGAGAATCGCACTCAGCCTCGGACATAATGCAACTGTGTTCCAGGCAGAAGTATCGGCCATCGAACACTATATAGGGGAAATAAACAGGTAGAAGGTCACAAATGAAATCAATGTCACCTTCTTCGACAGTCAGGCGGCATTTGGGGCGCTCAGCTCATCTCAAGTATTCTCAAGACTGGTGGAAAGCTGTCTGGGCGCACTCAAGGATCTAAGTACCCAAAATAGGGTCAATCTAGCTTGGGTTCCCGGATATGAGACTCACACTGGCAATGAGGAGGCCGATATTCCAGCCCCTGAAGACACATTGGCCCAGAAACCTTTCGTATAAAGACATCCATAAATTCATGGATGGAAGCCGAATCGATAGATAGGTGGAATGAGCTACCAGGAATGAGGCAGGCGAAAGAGTTCATGAAGAAACCATCGCCAAGATTCACCAAGACCTGCAAAACCACAACCGTAAGATTGTGAGGGTAGTGGTGGGTCAACTAACAGGACAAAGCTCTGTGAATGCAAAGCGATAGCAACGCTGAGGCACGCAAGATGCGGGAAAGAAAAACCAGAGGCTGCCAGCTATATGAAGGGGTCACTGTCAAGCCCATGGGGTCTCATCAAAGAGATCAAGCTAGACAATGAGCTCTAACAACCAAGGAGCATCATAAAAGATCGGAAAAGGTCGCAGTTAATCAGGCCATGGACCAGCTCCTCCACAATCTAATCTAATGCTATTCGCATTAGTTTTTGTTTGCTTGGTGAAATTCCAGTTTCAAATTTGTTTTCGGAATTAAAACAAGTTTTTGTTTCTGTTTTTGAAAACTGAACTAGTTCCAAGCGAGTCCGTCGGCTAAAACTCCGTCTTTAGGTGTATTTAGTTTGCACCAATCTCATTCCACGTTTGTTTGAAATTGGTTGACAATATTTCATGATAAATTCCATCACACATGGAAGTCCGAACTAATAAAATTCAATGGTACTCCAGATCTGCAAAATCACTCTGCTCCATCAAAATTCCCATACTTCGATTGTTAGGTGAGGTTCGAAGTGAGTGAGTCTATTCTACCCTTCACCGCAACACGCAAAGGTTTATTGTGGCTCACACCTATTCACACTCAACCAAATAAACCCAGCTTCTCAACGAAGCCGATTAGTTGGTATGGTGAGTGGTCTTTCAGGTCAGCTAGTGAGAGGACGGTTCTGCCGAACTCTAAAAACCTAATTCGGTCCCCAGCCGGCAAGCACAAAGTATGTTTCATTATTTTCCAAACAGAGGCGACACACACTGTTTTCCGACAGTCCGAAACTCTGCATATGATGATTCAAATGACAGTAACCTTCCTCTCGATTTATCAATCTCATCTCTCGACTACGTCGATTAACAACTTGCTGTTAGTATTTTTGATCGTAGGAAAATCTAGTAAAATAGTTGGATATCTGTACAATACACGAGATACAATAGAAATTGCGGCAAAAACACCGTTTTTTTTACAGAAAAATCACGGAAACCAGATGTGTCCCAGGCTGTGACGAAAAGTTCGTCATCAACAAATGACAATTCTGTCGATTCCATAATAAATAAACAAACAATATCTACAATATTTACAAGTAATTCAGCTAATGCATCGAGGTAAGTACACTATGGTCTACATTCACTTACTGTATGAATTAAAAACGACGTGAGATCCGTAAATCACTTCTATAACCTTCAATTTATATCTTTCAATAATATCGATTATTATTTTTCAGATATCAGCCTCCAACAACAAGTTACTTCACGGTATGGTATAAAAAGAGAGCAACCGAATGAGAAGAGTGAAGCCCTTATCCAGTCTTCTAATAAAAGAGAATTAATATATGCGATTTGTTTTCAATTTTCTAACATAACCACAACTGTCCTCGCAGTAAACGTGCATCGGTCCTAAACTACTCACACGGAGGGAGGTTCTCAGCTAGGAATCTTATGATAGAGTCGTAGGATGTTAGATAACTTCTTGGATCGGTAGAGCCGTGGCCTGGGATTTTTTGCAACAACGGTCGGTTTTGTTTATTTTTTTTTGAAGAATAGTCGGTGGGCCTTTCTCTTCGACTAGATTGGTGTGACAGTGAAGGCGCTTGAATTGATGAAGATGGACCAATTCCACGATATATCTATTTCTACATCTCCAACTACATTTTATTTTTCATTGTCAATAAACTTGTATATTTCATAATGAGTGTTCATTTATTCCAAAAAGTTATAAGTAAAGGTAAATTTAGACCGTTACACGAATATTGGCGGAAATATCTCAACCTGGAATAAGAGGAGGGAAAA